TAGAACTCGCTTTATTTATCTGACGCTTGTAAATAACTGCCACCACAGTGTTCTACTCTCCTGTTACAAGCCCTCTCATTTTTCTCCGGGTCCAAAGCCTCTGGTTGGTCCCAGTACCCGTGATGTCGTCCATGTTTACATTGGTTGCTGCTAACACAGTCTGCTAAAGCTCTACTTGTCTGAACAAGCGTTCCACGTACTCCACTTCCTTATTTTAATTCCTTAAATGTCTTCTTTTACACAATTTGGTATCCTCCTGAGAACACAAAATCTGTTATGTATTTGTCGATTTTGGTTTGCAGTAACGCAGTCATGTCTTCTTTCAAAGCGTATAGTTGGTTGCTGATATTGCCCACGTGTGTGTTGCAGATTCTTAGGCATTCTATGACTGCTACATGAAGTGCACCTTTTTGCTTCTCCTAGCAGTTGGGTAAGGAGGGGAAGGGGGGGGGGAGAGGAAGAGTTGTTCTGGGTGGTCAGTAGGGAGAGGCAAAGGGGCGGATGTGAAGGAGAATGCTAGAATTCAAGTTTGGGTGGTGGGAAAGGGCTGTTTGGAATGTCAGTAAGGATTCCATTGGGATCAAAGGTTGCTGTGGAGGTGTGGGGTTAAATGATGATGGAGGGGTGTGCAAAGTAAGATGAAAATACTTGGTTCTTGAGTGAGGAGGAAGAAGGGACAGTTGAACAAAGCCACAAGGGCCGTGATGAGGGTTCGAACCTACGTCCGAGAGTATCCCAGACGCGCTTTAATCGACTGTGCCACGATTAAGCACATTTGATGCATCACGCTATTGTGATTTTTGTGTGTTAGGGACAGTTGTATAGTGTAATGGTACATGGGAAGGATAGATGGGGGGGGGGTTAGGATAGCTGGATGGGAACGGGTGGAGAGGGAAATAGATGGTTCAGTTAGGCATATTGTGCAAATGGGGGAGGATGAGGGTAGATAAGTGGACGTAATGAATAACAATGGGAGGGGGGAGGGGGGTGCAGAGTGAATATGGGAAGTAATTTAGTGAACTCTCCTAATTGTGCTTGCAGAGGCTGGGCTTCGACTCTTTGGTCCCGCCTCTCAACTGTCAAGCAACTGGTCCACAGATTCCTAAGCCTATTGGGTTCTATCATATCTATATTTGAAACTGTATAAGGAGTCAGCCTCTACCACATCACTGCCTAGTACATTCTATTTGTTAACTACACTGTGAAAAGTTCTTTCTCATGTCTCTGTGGGTCATTTTTGGGTACTCAGTTTCCACTTGTGTCCCCTTGTGCAGGTATCACCCGTGTTAAACTGGCTTTATCTACTCCTTTTCAATTCCCCTGAGAAGTGTGTGTGTGTGTGTGTGTGTGTGTGTGTGTGTGTGTGTGTGTGTGTGTGTGTGTGTGTGTGTGTGTGTGTGTGTGTGTGTGTGTATGTGTGTGTGCATGCGTGTGGTCTGTTTTTCTTCTTTATAAATAACAAGAAACAAAACCGCTCACTAGAACGCAATTAAAACGTACATGGCAGTATGAGGCAACAATAGCAGTAGTGGAGGTTCATATACTACTTCGAATAAACCAACTAAATATTTGTTACGTTACCTCTTTACTTATAAACAAGTTAGTGTGACACCATAATCGTCAAACTATACGAACACGTCTTTCTACGCTGACTCGGGAAAACCACACCACGAACTTGGGTTCTTGATGCAGATCGTCCTCCTAAGGTCTCCTAACGTCAAGGAAACGGTCAATGTTACGTTACAATTTTACGAAAACGTTACACGAGGCATGTAAGTGTCCTCTCCTCTGGTAGATCCTCTATTTGGGACCTACCAGAGGACCCAGAATAGAAAACGGGACAGTACGTCATTTTCGCGAGTCTTTTTTTCCATTTTCAAGTACGACAATTTTTGGTCTTATGCAACGAAGTTCTCTAGTATCCTAGCGGATACTTATCCACAGCGTTTCAGGTACAGAGTATAACCAACTTAAGGTACAAGACACCTTGTACATTACGTATAATGCAGACCGTCATTTTTCCACAACTGGTCACACGCTTTCATACTTTTGTGCCCTTGATCTCTTCTTGCCAAGACGCGATCAAAACACTTTTTCGCACAAACGAAATTTCAAACACGACTAACACAAAAAACTTGCAGTATTATTGCATATTTGGCTATGCTGGGAGTTCCCAATTTACTGTGTCAAGAGACATCAACACAAGTTTAACTGAATATTAAATTAATAAAACAACTCAAAATATTTAAGTTTTACGGTGGTGCTATTGCTAATGCATTTCAAAATACTTATGTTCTTAAAGCTGTTTGAAAATTTATATTTAATTAGAGTTAAGATTTGTATCTGTTGTTTTTAATTTGTTATTTTGTGGCTTTAAAACGTAGCAAAACATCTAGTAAGACTGGCATTAAGGGATCTTAGTACTGAAACATGCAACCATGGACGCAACCACACCCTCCTAGCGTCGGCTCTCGAAAGATATTTACAAATGCCATCGGATATGCAGCCACCATATTAGGTTACCATCCTAGAGCCTCTGGCTATCACCGTCGCATCCAGGAGAGTTTTTGTCCGGGCTCGCCCACGCGCCAGGTCCTGGAACCTATTACTCGAACAAGTTCTGGTGCCTATTATTAGAATAGGTTCTGGAGCCTATTATTAAAATAGGTTCTGGAGCCTATTATTAAAATAGGTTCTGGAGCCTATTATTCGAACAGTTCTTGGAACTTGTCATTCGAATAGGTTAGGTTCAATAGCTTGAACCTATTAATCGAACAGGTCCTTGAACCTATCATTCAAAATGGTCCTGGAATCTATCGTTCAAATAGGTCCTGAAACCTATCATTTGTACAGGTCCTGGGGCATATAATTCGAATAGGTCTTGGAACCTTAGTTTCGTACTGGTCCTGGAACCTATAATTCACACAGATACAAGCTGGAACAAGCCTTGAAATTTATAATTTAGGAAGATCGTGTAGTCAAAAGTTCAAAAGAGGTCCTGAAGTCCAAAATTTCCTGGAATTTTAATTGAAATTGATTTTAAAGTTTATCATTCACCCAGGTCCAGGACAAAAAACTTATTTCGGTGACAAGTCTTACAGGTTATGAGTTAAACAGACCTTATAAATTAAAATTGAACTGGGACCTGAAAGTTTCTACTCAAATAATAACATTAACCTAAACTAATATTCAATACTAATTCTTCTAATAACGGGAGACAATTATCCATGGAACTCTTGCCTACTAGTTCGCTGTGATAACCTTTTGTTTACTTTGTTTAGCCTCTTGTTTTCTGTTATGTTAGCCTCTTGTTCTCCGTACTCACCTAATTGTGTTTGCGGTGGCTGAGCTTCGGCTGTGCTCACTGTGCGAATGTTAGTAGTTCATAGTGAGAATGTAATGTCGTTCAAACAACAGCTTGCCACTACAGAATTGTACTTTCAACACGTTCTTTATTATTGAAGGCAATTTTGCTAAGAACTTATTTTTGTAAATACGTAGCACTAGCTTTGCTTATTAATATAATTCATTAAACTTGACAACAAAAAACTTACGACAAACACTGAGCATTTCTTAATTCCGTCAATTTTCTTTCATTATGTCTTTAAGAGATGAGAAATTAAGCTCGCCCATTTTCCAGGTGTCTTGATGGAGTTGGTTAATGTGTATGATTGAGCAATTTTTATTACTCCTACCGACCCTCTGATTACCACTTGACGAGAAAATGGGAATGAATTATTTTGTGAACCACGTGACCCAGGCGCGGGAGTAAACTGATGTCGTGGAGGTAATATCCCGCTCAAGATGCCAATCTGTCTTCACCGAATTGTTTCCTCTGATGATCTCTATACTCTCGTATGAATAGTGTTGTAATTTGTACTCTCGCAAGAATAGTGTTGTAGTTTGTACTCTCGTACGACTAGTGTTTCAATTTGCGTTTACATTAGTAATATATCGGAATTTTAAGGGTAAACTCAAAGCATATTCAAATATTGAAGCTTTGTATCTTATTATCTCAATAAACGTATTTGAACTTTATGTGTGATTATTGCGATGAGGCGTTTCGTATTTTTTGGTGAATATGCGCAGATTATATTTTAGTCAAGACTTTTTTCAAGAGTAAAGTATACTGCCCAACACACTATGCGTGTTAGTGGCTTCACAAGAATGTAAGAACACAAATGTTATGTACTCTCACAAACCCACTGTACTTCTTGTAAATAAATAAATAAATAAATAAATACTTGCAGACTGGTCAATAAACAAGTTGTTGCCTTAATAACTTTCAAGGTCCAATAAACTTACGATCAACAGTAGCCCTAAACCTGTGCACGTTAATTAAACTTGACTAATCAAGACTGAGAAAAAAGACTGTTGATGTATAATGAATTCATTAATGTTAATGAATTCTATAACTTGCTTGTAAACCTCCTAAAACATTCGTGTTGTTAAAAGTTCAAAGAATAAACACAGGATATTTTGTGAGGTTTCACTGCTTCTTGAATATAGAATAAATTAAATTGCTAGCAACCCGTCCTCTCAACTAGTACGTCTCACTTCGTGCGGTATGGTCCGCAACGTACAAATTACGAAGTATTATGAAAAGTTACGGCTCACAAATATCAACGTTTTCTATGCTGAGGTTAATTATGTTAGATAGGTGGTTAGGATTCATGTGTTTCTGGTTAGGTTAGCACTTTTTGCACGTTGTAGTTGCATGCAATCAAGACCAAGATCTACTATACACGGAGTCAACCATTAAACTTCACTGAAGGATATCAGGTCAACTCACAGCACCTCCAAGATGTATACCAACTCGTGTAAGAGTCCCCTGGGCACAGGAGACACAATGACGTTAGGTAGAGGGTTCCCCAGGCCCTCTCGTACCTCTGGGTCTGCGTGCCGTATTCATAAACTAAAGAATAACTGCTGTACATAAGTTCATGTGCAGTGACTTGGAAGTGCTGCGAGTTGAGTAAAGTGTCAATGGGACAACTCACCTAGTCGCTGGTCCCACTCCGTCTCTCGGAAGGGGCTGTCCTGTAAGCGCTGTGACATTGTTGACATCAGACGAGGTCTTGCTGATCACTGCCTGCTAAGCTTCACTCGGTTGTGTTTCACTATGATGGCTTTTTCTTCTTCACTTAAAAGGTATTGTTCCTTAATTTTACGGCTGGCCGAGCAGCGGCGGCCGCCTCACCGCATGTCGAATCACTCGTATCTCTGTGACGGAAGAAAATATTCAATTACAAACGAACGGCAGCAGACGCGCGCACATGTACGTAGCTCTGCGGCAGAGAATATATCCTAGTTAGCGGAGTGCGCGCTTGTGTGTGTGTGACGCAAGACACTCGACTGTGGAGTGGCAGCAGGGGTGTGTGGCGGGGCAGGACTGGTGGTGGCTGCCTCGGTGTGCAACGGGTGCACCAGCTCAGACCCCCCTCACTGATCCCCCTCACCATCTCACCATCTCACCATCTCACCATCTCACCATCTCACCATCTCTCTCTCTCTCTCTCTCTCTCTCTCTCTCTCTCTCTCTCTCTCTCTCTCTCTCTCTCTCTCTCTCTCTCTCTCTCTCTTTCTCTCTTTCTCTCTTTCTCTCTTTCTCTCTTTCTCTCTTTCTCTCTTTCTCTCTCTCTTTCTCTTTCTCTCTCTTCCTGTCTCTCTCACCCTCCATAAACGCACACCCGCGCAATACTCAAAGACCCAAATCAATCAAACATCAACATATTTATTATGAAGCCCTCCATTCAAAGATCGCCTCCATTGAGACAATACAAACAAGCTCCAACCATATCACAATATAGAAATTAACAAATTAGTGAATTAATTCAGATACACAAAATTTGGCATATGTGAATGTATATCAGGTACCACAGAACGCAGCAAATGCAATTGTGATGTTTATATAGACACGCTGCAACGCTGTTTACTCGACCTGTTTTTATTTTGTTGGGGGGAAAGGTGGAGGGGGGAGAGGTGGAGGGGGGGAGAGGGGGGACGGGCAAGGAAGTTTAAGTCAGATATTGGTCAGCGGTATAATTAGGACCAATCCTAGTCTGGTATGTGAGGAACTATCCACCCCCCCCCCTGGCTCTATCCCTTCCCATCCAACCATCCCCCGGAGCCCAAGAACTACTTTCCTCCCCTCCCCCCCCCCCCGCCCCCTTGGTGTGTTGGGACAGGGGGTCCCAACACACATACCGCCCTCCCAGACACCCTTGGCCCAAACGCCCGTGGCTTTCATGAGTACTCTTGCTCACACCAGACAAGCCTCCACTGCATACACCGCTGGAAGGATAACGGGCGTTTGTATAAAAATGCAATTTTTGTTACTCTTCATCTAGCAAACAAACAAAAAAAATAACAAAAAAGCTCCTTAAATGAATGAGAAGCGTGACAATTAGAAAACAAGAGGAAATGCTCTGGTAATCTTGCTGATCATCAAAGTATACTCAACTCTCTAATTCTTGTAAACTCGTATTGAATCTTGTGCTGTTTACATGCTTGTAAACTCGTATTGAATCTTGTACTGTGTAAGTATGAATGGGACACGCTGGATGTTCCGGCGCTCTTAAATTCGCAAAGGAAATAAAGAAATACAAGCGCTCACTAGAGAATTAGAGAGTTGAGTATACTTTGATGATCAGCAAGATTACAAGAGCGTTTCCTCTTGTTTTCTAATTGTCGCGCTTCTCATTCATTTAAGGAGTTTTTTTGTTATTTTTTTTGTTTGCTAGATGAAGAGTAACAAAAATTGCATTTTTATACAAACGCCCGTAATCACCCCTATTAAGTTTTAACACCATCGTCCTCTGCTTATGATATAAAGTGAGTGTAGCGCTGACAACATTTTAAAAAGTGTAAGAGCCACGATTTGTTCCAGGTAACTGAGGGTGAGAATGATATGTGGCAGTGGAGAGTTGTGTGGTGGTAGAGAGTTGTGTGGTGGGTGCCTGGGTGGTTGTAGTGGTGGCGGTGGTGGAGGGGGTGGTGGCGGTGGTGGGGGTGGATGGGATGGTGATGGAGAGGGTAGTGGCGATGATAGTGTGGAGCTTACCTTTAACTGACTACCTATCAGTGTGTGTTTAGCAGACTTTCGAAATCACTGTCGAATTTGACTTTTAAAGTTGTGGATGGAAGAGGCTTCGACAGCTTCTTCTTTCCGCGTATGTATTCCACTAGTTGACCACCCGTACAAGGTACAAGTATTTCCTTACATTCCTTCGACTCATTTGCGTTTCCGATTCCTATGTCGTCTTGTCCTACTTTCTCTCAACTTGAAATAGCTGACATTGTTCACCTTGTGTATTTCCCTTAGTATCTCGTATACTGTGATCATATCACTTATGTTTCGCTTCCTCTCTAAGATTATTAAATTTAGTTTCTTTATTACATAATCATAGCTTAAACCTTTTAGTTTTGACACTAATCTTTTTTACGTTAGTGTGTGCCGGAGAAAGTTCTGTCTCTTTGTGTAACTGCTAAAACCCTTCTTGTATCTAGTGCATTTTGTTTTAATTTTTTGTGACGCTTAAGTGCCTTCTTATATCTGAACTTAAAATTGTGTATAGTGGCAGTGATGGTGGTGGTGGTGATGGTAGTACTGGGGGTAGTGGTGGTGATGGTAGTACTGGGGGTAGTGGTGGTGATGGTAGTACTGGGGGTAGTGGTGGTGATGGTAGTACTGGGGGTAGTGGTGGTGATGGTAGTACTGGGGGTAGTGGTGGTGATGGCGGAGTCTGCGGCAAGTGTGTACTCATCTAGTTGTGCTTGCAGGGGTTGAGCTCTGGCTCTTTGGTCCCGCCTCTCAACTGTCAATCAACTGATGTACATGTTCATGCGCCTACGTAAGGAAATACTCTATCATATCTACACTTGAAACTGTGTATGGGATCAGCCTCCACCACATCCCTTCTTAAAGCATTCTATTTGTCAACTACTCTGATGGCTCATTTGGGTACTCAATTCCCACCTGTGTCCCCTAGTACGTGTGCTCCCTTGTGTTAAATAATCTGTCTTTATCTACCCTATCAATGTACTTACAGAGTTGTGCTTGCGGGGGTTGAGCTCTGGCTCTTTGGTCCAAAGCCAAGTCACACACACATGTGCGTGTGTGAGAGAGAAGCCGGGGTGCTGCAGGAGCGTGTGCTTGGGTGGTGATGGTGGGTGACCTTGAAAGACGCCACCTCTAACACCACCCCACCATAACCACCACCGCCAACAATAACACAAAGTTATCCTCACTCCCACATCATCACCTCCAATTTCCCCGCAGCACTTTAAGCTGAATGGCAGAGAGCCACTATAACACCACCACTTCCACAGCATCAGTCCTCAACCATCATCACCACCACGGCATCAGTCCTCAACCATCACCACCACCACCACAGAACCAGTCCTCAACCACCACCACCACATCAGCATCAGTCCTCAACCATCACCACCACCACCACAGAACTTATCCGCTACCGTCAGTTTCTCACCAATAAAAGTACTTTCCGGTAGAATCTTTTGATATCAAATATTCACTGCGCTAGGCTGTTACACACGATGTTTGGTAGGTTCTAAGTAGGGGAATTGGTTTGGTATTTAGCTTAAAGTCTATTCACCTAAGAAAGGTTAGCAAAGGCCTTTATAGGCCTTAGGGCCTATCATCCTCTGAAGGGTTAACACTACCTTCGGTGTATATACACATTCTTGGTGTAAGTATCCTTGTCAAGAAAGCAGGGTACATTACTCATATATATATATATATATATATATATATATATATATATATATATATATATATATATATATATATATATATATATATATATGTCGTACCTAGTAGCCAGAACGCACTTCTCAGCCTACTATGCAAGGCCCGATTTGCCTAATAAGCCAAGTTTTCATGAATTAATTGTTTTTCAACTACCTAACCTACCTAACCTAACCTAACCTAACTTTTTCGGCTACCTAACCGAACCTAACCTATAAAGATAGGATAGGTTAGGTTAGGTATGGTTGGTTAGGTTCGGTCATATAGCTACGTTAATTTTAACTCCAATAAAAAAAATTCACCTCATACATAATGAAATAGGTAGCTTTATCATTTAATAAGAAAAAAATTAGAGAAAATATAATAATTCAGGAAAACTTGGCTTATTAGGCAAATCGGGCCTTGCATAGTAGGCTGAGAAGTGCGTTCTGGCTACTAGGTACGACATATGTATATATATATATATATATATATATATATATATATATATATATATATATATATATATATATATATATATATATATATATATATATATATATATATAATTCTGTGTTGACTGAAACCCCGCTCTCCCCTTCTTACACTTTATAGTAAATAAAAATTAAAAAACGTCTGTTTCACTGCGGCTTCCAAGAAACTTGACGGAATTTAAAATAAAGCGACGGGGGTAATCTTTGATGCCCCTTGATGCAGCAGAATAAACGTGGGTAGGCATCCTTCAGTCTCGGGAGACTATGGAGTTGCACTCTGGTTGTCAATTTCGGTGCTGCGTCTGGTGTGACTGATGAGGCCAATGGCAGTCCATCCCACATTGAGCACAAATGAAGTCTGATTCTGGTCTTTCTTCCTGGGTACCAGCTTTCCTTCTCTGTCTCTTTGTCTCCGATTGCTTGGCAAGTGACTATAACATAGGAAATAATTCTATCTTATATGAAAGAACTGTGCTGCTACACATGTCCCTCTGTATTGACATCATGAGAGTCCCAACATCTGTAAGAATGTTTAACAATTTCAAGTGTTTAGTGCTTTTAGCAGAACAAACACATCCTGTACACAATAACATTCGCTAACAATGTCCCTGTTAATGACCTTCCGCTCTATTAGCATCCTGTCATACAAATTTCATAACTCGTTCGCCATTACTGAAGTATAATGAGGATCCGGCTTTACTCCAAGCGGTAACTGTTTAAACAATTGGTTCTTAAAGCCTATAAACATTGTGTCACTAGTAATTTATTTATTTATATACGAGAAGAAACACTGGGTTGAGAGAGTACATAACATTTAAATTTGTACATTCTTGTAACGCCACTAAAACTCATAGCGTTTCGGGCAGATCCTTAATCTAATAAAAGTTTAAAGTATTAATATGTAGATTGTAGTAGAATTTGAGTAGTGGCTCATTTTGACTATCAACCGACAGCACTGAAGCTAGAAGAGGAAGACAGTAGAA